AATATATATATATATATATATATATATATAGACTAAACAGATTTTGCACTTGGGATCGATTATATAGACTTTTTATTATTTAATTATGTAAATAATCAAATAAAGAACAATATATTATTTATTATGATATATAATAAGAGTGATTTTTTGAAAAAAAAAATCCTCTGTTTTTCTATTGTCCCTGTTTTGAGAATTCGTTAATACTGCTCTCCTTTTTACCTAATAACTGGTTCAATTATGATGTTTTCAACATCATTATTGTGTTGCAGTGTTCTGGTGTTTACCAAAAATATTATAATATTTTTTTATGTATCAATTCATGAGAAAATAGAGGAGAAAAAAAATATGACTTGTTATCAAATTATGAATATTATAGGTATTAGATGAAAATATGGGTTCTATTAAAGAATTTTGAAAATATATTTTTTTATTGGTAACTCCCTTTTTATTATTTACAATCATATATTTATTTTTAAATATTTCTAAAATACCTCCTTTATAAAATAGGCGTAAATTACCTCTTACTCTTACTTTTCCTCCTCCTCGATTCGATTGATAGTGATTTGAGCTAGAGCAGGTAATAATTGTGGGGAGCATACAACAACCTCCCATGAGGATTGACTATAGAAGTGGCAACAACTGATGTACCCAATTGTTTGGGTAATCGTCGAAGTTTGACTTATCTTAATGCTCTTAGAAACTTATTTAAAAAGAACCATAGAGGAGAAGAGCATGATAAAAGTTTATAGTGTTCATATACAAGAAGGTGAGGGAACTACAAATATAGATACTAAAGATAATGTCAATGCCATTGGCATCGAGCCAATAGACAACGAGTAGCATTCATTGATAACGAGCGAATAAAATAAAAGATTACGAAAAAAAATAAAAAAAAGATCGATGATAAAAGAGTTACAAATAGAAAAGAATATTTTATTATTTTAAAAAATCAATAGCAAGGAAATTAAAATGATAAAAATAGGTTGTGAATAGCAAGCTTCGTTCTCAAAACGTGTGCAAGGAGAGTTTTTCCTATAATTCATCAAATTATAATAATTTGAAAAAAAATATTTTTTTGTATAATTAATTAGAATAGGTCTACCGCTGTGTTGGAGGATTGAAACGAGGGTGGTTGTTGAATACACGACTCCAATTTATGAATCGGGAACCATTCGTGGCCTAACTTATGGCGGGGAAATACCGGAGGAGATTCGTGTCCCAACTGACCGTGGCGGGCTCATGATGAACTGGAAAGAGGATCTCAGCCGTCGATAACGTTCACCTGCTCGTCTCGCGCTCCGCTTCCCTACGTCGCCCCTATTTATTCACGCCTCGACCCCCATCTCCATTTTCTTCTCCCTCTTCGATCGTCTTGATCTTTGGGGTTCCGGAAACCCTAGGGAAGGCGAAGGGACTCGGAGCCCGTAATCTGCTCGTTCTCCCGTGAAATCTCTTCGGAAACTGTCAGGAAGACCACAGCCGTCGGCGTTGCGCCGCGCCCTCTTCGGCCTCAGCCATGAATCCGGAGTAGTAAGTGTTATGATCATAACTCTGATCTCTACGTTGATGCTAATGATTGAATCGCTTTGGATTTGATCGCAAGCTTGTTATTGGGTTGGTTATGGATCCAGCGGTTAGGGTCTGTGAGTTGAGAATCCGATGACGGAGCTTCTGATGGATCCGGAATTCTCAGTTGTCTAGTTAGGAGTTCGTGATCCTAGCCTTCGATCATGAATTCGCGCTTTAGATCGGCCATGTTGACCTGCAGTATATAATCGGATCTGGCGGGTGTGGTTCGGGATCTGTTGATTTTGATGTCTGTAGATTCCAGTCTAGGGGTTGTTCCTTGACCCCGCTTGATTTCGTTCGCCCAAGTTGTAGTAATAAGCTTGATTGATTGACCTATTTAATGATTGTTGCAAAATGTATCTGAAGTTATATGTCGAACTTGAAGGTTATCGATTTATTTTGGTCCTCATGGGTTACGCAACATTTTAGTTATCAATCATCATTGCCTTTATTTCGTTCTATAGATGTTTCAGGGAATTGGTGTGGTTGCTTCCTTGAGAAGTGAAATATGTTGAGTCGAGTGTGAGCAGGTGGTTCTGATTAGGAAGGGCCTATGATGAACTTGACTGTCAAGGCATTTATATTATTTATAATTGCTTTGTATTTGCTTTGGTATGTGAGCCTGATAAGGAAGCGTGATGACCTGATGAAGTTTTGCCTTTATATTTTGACAGTCGTTTGGCTTTCTCCGTACGATGGTACCAGTTGTGTTCTTGCAAAGATGATATGCTTAGTCAACTAATTTGCAAATTAAATTTTCCATTGCAAATAAGTTATATGTGATTTAGCTAAATAGGGCCACCGGTCATCTTTTTGTACGAAGCTAACTTTTTGGCATGTTTTTTGCAGTGACTATCTATTCAAACTTTTGCTTATTGGGGATTCGGGTGTTGGAAAATCATGCCTCCTCTTAAGATTTGCAGTAAGGAGCAAGCATGTGTTTTGTTTAATATTATCTCTTGCATATTAGAAATTTCTGAACTTGGATCTCATGGTTCAATTGCATGGTTTTGCAACCAGTTCTTTCCCATGAGATATACAAGAGTAGTCTTCATTTGTTTTAGCCGTTACAAAGCAGTTGCAAGATAACATTTTGTTAATAGTTTTAGTCCAATGACACTTTGAACGTCCAATACTGATGGTATTCTGTATCTACACATGAGATATCATCCCGAAGTAACCATGAAGTCTTTTGGTTCTATATGGGAGTTTTGGTATCTCGGAATAAGTCTTTTAACTTGAATGACTTATGGATCTGATTGGTTTGGAATAAGGAAGATAACCGTGTCCATTGATTTCATTAATTTAATGTTCTCTTGATGATATGCATACAAACTGAGGCACCACTATATTTTCATTGTTAATCTGAAGATTACCGGCTGTTAACTTTATTTGTTGTGTAGTTCTGAACAAAAGTTGATTATCAGTTTATTGCTTTGGCATAGGAATAAGCACCTACGCTGGGCCACTCACCAAAAAATATTATAATCTTGAGAAGTAGCAGGTTTCATGCTTATGCTGAGGTGCAAAATATGCAAAGGCAGTAGCTCTTGACTGCACAAGGTGATTTCATTTGTCCAGAAATTATGGCATGACCTATTTTAACATTTCTTTGTAGGATGATTCTTACCTGGAAAGTTACATTAGCACCATTGGAGTTGATTTTGTAAGTAAGCTCTATCTTATTTATACAGAGTCAACAAAACGCTTTGACTAAATCATCTGAACAATGGTATCATTTCTTTCTCTAGAAAATTCGGACTGTCGAGCAGGATGGGAAGACCATTAAGCTTCAAATCGTGAGTTTATTCACCATGATGCTTTTATTGTGTATTCGTTATGATATTGTATATCTGGTGTATCATAGATCTCTGGCAAACCAATACATCATATTTTCTACTGTGGTGTTGATTGGGTCTGTTGGTCCTGTGAAGACATGTCTTAGTACGATATGTCTGTGGAGATTCACGATACCAAGTCCCGGTTGTCATATCCTTGTCGAACTGAGAATTTTTGCAAATGCATTTCATTTTTCATTTGAGATCTGCAGATGTCGACTGTCAAGACAGCTCTCTCTTGATGAATTAGTTATCTGATATAGTTATGCTTTGAGAAGTAGCAATTTTATATTTCTTTCTTGATGAACCATTTTCTTGTGGTTGCAGTGGGATACTGCTGGGCAAGAGCGTTTCAGAACAATTACAAGTAGCTACTACCGAGGTGCCCATGGTATCATTGTGAGTCTAATCAATCGATTTACGAATAAGTCAATTTGAACTTATTTATTGTTCTAATTAATAGTCAATCTGACAATCTATATGTGTGAAACGTTTTGAAAGTGTCTGCTCATTCTCGAGTTGCAGGTGGTCTATGATGTGACAGACCAGGAGAGCTTCAACAACGTGAAGCAGTGGCTAAATGAGATTGATCGTTACGCGAGTGACAGTGTGAATAAGCTTTTGGTTGGGAACAAGTGTGATCTTACTGCAAACAAAGTTGTCTCTTACGAGACAGCTAAGGTAATTTAGTACTCTTACTAGCCTGCTAGCAGCTGCAGGAGAACCATGCTTTTTAATGCACCAATATTTGTATAAAAAAATATCATGCTACCACATCAAATTCTATGAGATTATGGTTCCACCAGTGACATAAATTACATTTTCTTTTAGCACTTGACAGGCACGAATCATTTGAGTATCCTACATTGATCACTTGTGTGATTCATTATGGTATACTACTGACAAATACTTGGTTTGCTCTTTTTTTTTGGTTTGTTTACTCCTGTGATCATATAGGCTTTTGCTGATGAAATCGGTATCCCTTTTATGGAAGCTAGTGCAAAAAATGCAACTAATGTTGAGCAGGCATTTATGGCCATGACCGGTGCCATAAAGAACAGGTGTCTCAACTTTTCATCAACAGTCATTTATTTTTGCGTAGTTTTGGTTGGTGGCCCATAGTAATTAAGACTCGTGGATGCAGGATGGCCAGCCAACCAGCTCTTAACAGTGCCAAGCCACCAGCAGTGCAAATACGTGGACAACCTGTCAACCAAAAGAGCACATGCTGCTCGTCTTAAAGGTGTTTTGACGGTGACATACATCAACTACTTACTATTCAGATCGATTGATGCTCTCTCTCTCTATGGTATCTTATTTGGGAATTGTCAAGCATTATTCAATTCATTTCTAGTTATCAATCTTGTTCAAGCTGGATACTCGGTAATATACTCTGTTTGGCCGTCGTCTCTTCAGCTCTTGCTAGTGTGGTCCGATAACCTCTTTGTATTCAGTACATCAGGTGCCGATGGCCGATGGATTAGAGTTACCCTGGCATCATCAACGTAGGTGGCTTATCGTTTTTATCCATGATTTTGATTATCATTGTTATTCATTTATTTTGAGGTATTTTAATCTCTTGAGGGACATACGTTTCACAGACTCGCTGTATCCGCCCCTCCTTTTTCACGGAGAGGTGGGTTTTTTTTTTTTCTTTTCGTTTCTCTCTGATTTATCTGGCAATTGTCTTTTCTTGTTATTGCTTTATTAAAAAAAATATCATCCTTCTATGATTTTATTTTTGTTAAATATTTTTTATTTATTTTCCAACCTAATTAGTATAATTTATATTTGCAATATTTTTTTTATTCTTTGACCAATGAATCAGCGGCCCAAGACTGTCTGATTAGTCTGCCGTTGAAACTATTGTGCTATTTCTCATCCGTACAACCGGTAGATACTAAAAAATCAATGACAATAATTACATGCGAATAATAAAAGATCATGACAGAGCAGCAGTGAAAGATGGCATCACAACGGGAAAAAACTATGATGCCAACCCAAATAGGCTTTCCTTTTCTTTCGTTCTATGCACCATTCTTCTTCGATTAGAGTTGAGGAACTGCCATCCTCTCCGGGTTACACAAATTGTGATCCCTATAGTTTAAAGCGTATTGGTGACCCAGACCCAAACGGCTTTGTTGTATTAATTATGTATGTTAACCCTAACCTTTATTGTTAGTTATTCTTAGTATTTTGATCCATATTTTTTAAAAAATTATATTGACATTTTTATTCGTCGATTTTACTAAAAAAAAAAAAAAAGATATAAAAGATAATTTTAACATTCGTTGATGATAGTGGATGATATCGATGGTGGTAAATGGTAACATTACTGGAGGGTCGTAGGTGGCTATTGCAGTTAAAGAGAGTGGTAACGAAAGGTGAGTCATTGTGCATCTACGTTGATGTCGATGTAATTATCTAGCGACCTTTTCGCCCCTCTAGATCTGCATTAGCATCGACACAATTGTTGAGCAACAAAAAGGATTACTGAGCATCTCCATCAACGTTGATGTAGATGTATATACTGAACGGTGAAATGGCCATTGATGTAGATGACACCACTCGGTAATTGCATTCAACATAAGTACAGAATGATTCTCACCTCTTATGTCGTTCTCTCATCCACAAATGCCGACACAGATACAAAACAGTTCTCACCTCTTGCATCGTTTTCCTCATCCACAATAATCATTCATAATCTCTAGTGGTACCATCATCCGTCACTACCAACACTATACACCACCGTCAATTGAAACATTAAATTTTTTTCTATTTATTTATATTTTCGTTAATAAAACCAATAATATTATGTAATATGTAATTAGTCTAACGATCGAATGAAAGAGCAATTATGAAGAAATAGAAAATACCAACTTTAATATTGCGTGTGAAACATTCTAGCAGTTGATGCATTATTATCGAAGTGATGGATTTAATGGCCGGATCCATATTTGAACGTTTACTACCTAATTTAATATAATAAAGATTAGAAAGAAAAAAATTAATGCATTAGATATGCCATAATCAACCAAACCTCATGCAATTGGCACATTATTAACATGAAACCTTAAGAACCAAGGACGAGATAAAACATAAAAACATGGGTAACATCTTGCATCATATTAGAAGTGAGCCATTGCTCCAAATTTATCCTATAACACAAGGCAACAATAGTCATCAAATTAATCACTTCTGTTAGCACATGTTCAATTTCATGCTTAAAAACAATGATTACCATTCTAACGCTGTATATTCTTAGATTTAGCGAAATGAAAATTAATAATCCATTCAAGTAAAACCAAGATAATAGTTTTGGATCATTCTGGAAACGAGATCTTCCCAACTTAGCATAAAGATTATACTGGATTAAAAATCAAGTGTACCGCATAGCCCAAAAAGTGCATTCATTCATTTTGAACAAAGTCAACTCACATGAGTCTTTTCTTAAGGAAAATTGACAAGAAACTAATATGACTATTAGAGACGCATAACTCAAATGCCTGCATTAATTTCATGTGTGACCAAAATATTTATTAAGAATTCTCAACTTTAAAGGTTGACGACAGAATATATGATAAACGAGATCAAAATCGATGACTAAAAGTCAAAAGATAGAGAGCTAAAAGAAGAACGGTCCAAAAAGTTCCACTTTTCACAGAAGTAATGATTTGACTCTAACGTACCAACAATAGCCCCAAACACTATTAATAATAATCATAAGTTTCAATTATTTAAAATCGATTACATGAATCTTTTATCACATATTAAAAAGCAATAGAAATATAAAATGAAAAAAAAAAACAAACAAACTACAGCCCCGAACCATATATATAAAACATAGGAGAGAGACCGATCGAAGTCAGATGGACGTCGAGAATATACCTCAAAGATTGTTCGAACTTCCAAGTATATAATCTTTTGAAGAGAACAAAAATGATCAAAACCATGAAATACATAAAAGAAGATACAGTTTCAAAACTGAATTAGTTAACGCTAAATTTGCTTTACATAGTTCATGTACAGAACTGAATTATATAAAACAACCTTGAAGAAGAGCATCTAGATTATGAAAAAGCTCAAGTTTGGGCAGAGCCTGGGCACATCACCTAGAATGACAAACTTACTAGTCAGAGGTTCTGTTCATATGCGGCTCCATGATATCTATTTTGTAGTCATGACTTTGCCTTTAATTGCTCAAGACTTTGAAGATGAGACTTCAATAGTGTGTATTCTTGACGCATCCTCTCCAATCGAGATTCTACCGTAATCATTTCTTCCTTTAGGTAGATGAAGCGCTTCTCCAACCACTCTATGTTCTCCACATGATCGATACCAACATCTCTTACATAGTTTCCATGGGTAACCAGATTGACTTCAGGAACTCTAGTTAGAAGAAGAATGATGCTTAACTGCAAGTAACCAAAGAGTCAATTCTGCAGGATCACTAGATTTGCAGACTGGGGAACACATTCAATTGCATAATAACCAATATTATGTCATATTCCAAATAAACAAGCATTACCTAATTGCATGATGGACAAAATCATTCTAAGAATATAAAAATCTCAGAAAACAGAACCACACGCCTTCAATATCAATTTCTTCCAAAGAATCTAAAATCAATGTCCCATAATACCACCCAGTTCCCAGTTCCATTGATGTTTAATCAAGAGATTCTGCAAAAGTTTTCTGAAAAAGATCTACTTAACTATTCATATGAAAAGCAACACTCAATAATTTGACCAAATGGAAGTTCACAAAGTTTCAAGGAAACAGACTGTACAACAATCTTTACTCAAAATGGTGCTTCAAGCGATCAAGGATGGCAATTGTTGATACTACCCACTAACCTGGCATGATGCTAGCAGGACAGTATTGATCTTGTATGAACTGTAAACATGTTGACACAACTAACTGAACTAAAAGAATAACTTAGTCTGCATTTTGTGATCTGTTAACCAAAATTAACTCAATTAACAAGGTCAGCACAAGGCATTTTAGCTTCCATGTCAAATTCTATACCTCTGCAGGCTTTTAACGACATAGCAAAAGATACTAATAAATGGAAAATCAAATTGCACAAGAAGACTATTAATCCAACCCTCATAGAAAATCAAACGGCATTAATTTCTGGTGAAACATTGGAAAATAGTGTCACTAAATGATGACAAAGCATCACATAGCCAAAAAGCAGCTACCTGCCTGCAGTGCATAAAAACCATGACAGAAGGTAAAGAACTTGCCTGCATCAAGATAAAAACAATAAATGCCACGGCTAAAACCAAAGCCAACTGATTTTGCATCTTGATACATGAAATGAAGGTTGCCCACGATTCTTTAAATATAGATGTCAGCAGAGGAAATCTTTCAGACTTGTCTTTCATATGATCGTCAATCCCTGAGTTACAGTTTATAGTCTCATGGATGTTCCTTATAATATCTGTAGACTTTAATGTTGAATTTGCTATTGACCCTTCAAGCTTTGATGGATTCTCAAATTTGATGTCATTATCTTGAACAATGCATGTGTTCGGCTCAGAAATTCCTGTTATTATCACAAAAGATAATCATTAAATGGCCTAAGAATAGTCTTTTTAAATACATTTTTTGTGTTCACCACTTCAGAACACAAACCTTTCAATCGTTCCATGTTCTTTTCCTTCAATATTTCACGAGCCTAGAACATGTAAATATTCAAGATTAGCTCTTTCCTTCCATATTCTAGCATGGAAAACTTGAGATGGATTTTTCACCAATAAAAACTTACAATGTTCATCCAAGTAGCATAAACTTCTCGACACTCCTCCATAGTTGATTGTTCTATTTTCCCTAGAAAATAATACTCAAACATCAAAAGTAACAACTAATATGTTTCACTAAATTAATTACAATAGGCTAACATTAAAATCCCTCAGTTCAGTCAACGACCACATTAATCTGAAATTGAATAACTGAAAATTAATTTATTAAGACAACAATTCAATGCTTAAAACTTCAAACAATAAATAAAAGAGGCAATTAATCCATATAATGACACACAAAAAGCTACAAATCTGTCATCAACAAATTTCAGGTTCAATCATTACCAGAAATAAGCACATTAGAGCCAAGAAATGGAAAAGGAGAACATGGTGGTAACAAGCAGCAGGTATGTGTCTACAAGAAATGGAATAGAAAAACATAGTGGAACGGAAGCAGATGTCATGTATATGAAGATGAGCATCAGTAGCTGCAAAATTATAAATTCCATAAGGTCAGAGAATTGAGATGCCTTCATATCTATAACTAGAACAATCAATAAGGCTGCACCTCAAATGCGAGAGGATTATATGTTCGATTCATGCAATATGGCCAGCCTTAAAATTCCAAGACTACCCCCTCCAACGCAAGTTTCAGAAAGGATTTCTATGCATGATAAAACACCATTCTATAAGAATTAAAAGGATGATGTTGCAAAGATATATACTGGTCGCACAAGCTCTTTGGCACATTTCAGTCCGCTTGATGATGAGGTAAGTTATTCTGATGTGAAATTAACAACTATCCAATACAATGATAATAATGCTCATATTTAACTTTAAGCTATTGTTCTATATCAACTATATCCTTTATAAAAAAAATGAACCAGCAAACAAACCCATGATATCTGAATGTGGTCCAACAGAATAGAGCTTCTCAACGACAAAATAATAGAAATACTTTTTCAATCATACCCTTGAAAATTGTCTTTTTTAAAAATGCAACATTAGAATATACTTTCACGGTGCAGCTATTTTCTTCATTATTATCTTGGACCACATCCCAGAATCCCTGTACACACAAGATAAATACATATTAATTGGTACTGGTTTAAAATAAAAACAATGCCACGTGAAGAGATAGAATTAGACATTCAGCTATCAGCTGCCACTTCCTGTATGACCTTCAAAAGTATTATTTTAATATGAGAAAAAAATCAACAAGAAAGAATGTCACAGGGCAACAGAACTCTGATATCAAAGGCAGGAAAACAGAAGAAATGCTAATGATTTACTTAAATCTACCAGCCTGCAGGCTGGATTGTATCCCAGTAATCAATCACTAATATGTTCCTATACTTGGGCAGAGTGATACAAGTGAGTGCTAAAAGAATGAGCCAACTGCAGCTATACTCCTGATTAAAAGAATGCAAAAGACCAAAAACAATCCTCACTCTTTCATTTGACACAGTTTTTAGATTAGATTTCAGTTTATCGTACATCAGTTCAGTTGATAACGTGTCAAAGCGATGATTGTACAAGAGATGAAAATCCAGTACATATAACAGTAAATATGATTTGGCAAAGTTACTAACGTGTCACTCAAGCGTGCGCTGGCATCTGCATAATCATGTAAGTAATAGTAGCCTAGGAAATGTTATATGAACAGAGGGTACGAACCGATATCCATATAATGCAGACACCAACTGTGTGTCCAACCTGTTTCCTCCATTCCTCAAGCCATTTCATCAGTTCCTCTCCTTTTACAACCCATTTTGGAAACCTTAGTAAGCTTGTTCGATTTTCCTCTCATAGTTTTAGCCATTTTAAATAATACTAAAGCAAAGTTTTAAATGCAGTACTGGTACCCAAGCAGGAATCTCATCAAACTGGAACATATTGATCAGTATGTAAAAAATACCTCAATAGACAAATAAAGATAAATTGTATTGGTATGTTGGTACTGACTAGCAGGATTGGCAGACTAGTATACTAGTACCAGGCCAATACAAATAAGTCAGTGGTGATCAGTAGTGTGATTTTTGAACTCATGTTCTATAGAAGGAAATTACTGCCATTTTGTAGTACTGAGGCATGTATGTATGCAGACACATTTCTAACATAGCAGGTCTCCTAACAATCCAGCATAGAATGGCTTGAAATACCAATTAACATGACAATCCTCAATGGATTCAACACTTCTTTTCAAACAAGCTAGCAACATTTAGACCCAAAGTGTTGGCTAAAACATAAACAGTAACATCAGCAATTTTGAGATTTCAAAAATTATAGTAGTTTCAGTATCAATCTCTAGATTAAACCATAGGTATCTCATTCCATTCTCGATATGGCCAGGTATATTGTAACAATTTCTAAGTGAAAAATATTTTTTGCAACATATACCTTAAAAGAAATAATTTAGCTACACATATCTAAAACCATATTTATTTGCACCAGTGCCCTTGTTGATAAATGTTACAACTTGTAACAATTTGTTACTCTAATAATATAGATATCTGTCTGTACTACTATCCAAATAAATTTACCTGAGGAGAAGATGGGAGATGACAAGTAGGGAAAATTGCATTGTCTCCAAAGTTTAGCTCATGTAGTAGATGAATAAATCAACAAAATGAAGGATAAAAAGATCCATCAGTTTTGCTTTATGGCAACCTTTATTATTGAGGGTTTTTGACTTGAACCAAGCAGCTAAAAGGTCAAAAAGTGAATGTAGATACTACATATATCTTAAAAAGCACCTCAGATTCCAAGGTTGATCGTACTCCAGTGACATTCTGCTTTGACATTTGAAACTTTTGGACCAAAGAAACACTTATACATAAAGGTATAACATGTCAAAGGCTAACAGTTATATGTTTCCTCCCTCAATAAATCTTTTATGCTCCAAGGAAATGTGTTTCTCCGCATAGAGTTGTAACTTAAACAAATTAATTTCATAAACTGAGGATACAATTTAGAATGAGAACTAATAAGGATATGGGGTTCATTTTATTTACCTTAAGAATTTCTATGTTGTTTTTTTGTGCTTGCTAGCAGATTTATCTTATAAGAAATCAAAAAGAATGTAAAATTTGTCTGACTCCAAGATAATACACAGGATAAAAACTATAATCAACTTATTACTTCTATAGCAGTTCATATCTTTTCAGAATTTCTAGTTTTAAGCATCCAAACCCTTACCTGGAACTATCGACATCAATAGTTAAAAGGGCAGAACCACAATAGAAATAGACATTGATCCTTTGGGTTAAAATATGGTAATCAAACTCATGGTTTCAAATACTGGTCAGTTCAGCAGGTACTGACAGGTACTTACAAGGCCAACTAAGGACCACACCAGGTGGTATGATTTTGTACCAGTCTGTCATGATTTCCGACTGTTTGGCCATATAGGGTAAAATTGCGAAAACAACCCCGTTTTCACGTGCCATGGGTTAATTTCTGATTGACAACCTTGTGGTGCAAAACATCAATTGTCTCAACATCTCAGGGCACCGGGCAGAATGGGGCCTTGGTTATATGTTTAAGGGGTGGTGCAATGTTTTTAGTGTGCACTCTTTCTATTTAATGAAAGTGCTCGATGAACATTAGGCTGTCTTCGAGCCCCCTTTATGTGCAATCGTTTAGCCCGTTTTTGACATCCTTTGGTGCCAAATAAAAGTTGTTTGCTTTGTGTTGTTTATGATCTCAGTTATCTTATCCTTTTTGTGCACGATAGTAACATCTCGGTTATCTCTCACACATTCATATTTCTAACCTTTTCTTCTTTGTGTAGGTCCTTTGTGGATTGCACGAAATTAAGGTCTAGGCTAACCCTTGTGAACTAAGGAAGGTTGGGTGCTGCACGCCTTAAGCAATCCCAACTAAGGAAGGTTGGTACTCATTTTTTATTATTCTTGCCAACAGTACTGTGCAATATATGCAGGCATACAGTCTGGTATATACCAGTACCGTATTCTGACAATATGTAGGTGCCATTGTTTAAAACCATGGTCAATTTATACATTAAGAAAACTAAGTTAGCAGAAACATATAGGTAGGTACTGCTGCTTATGGTCCTCAAACCCAACTAACCTATCTCTATGACTGCTTGGTCTTGAAAGCATAAACAAAGCAAATGCATGATTGACATCACTTGTTTGCTGAAAACAAAAAGCAATTTTTTCAAAAGTCACAAGTATCGAAATGATGAGCTATTGACATCACCTCAACCTCAAAGTAATCACCATACGGCACATCTTGAATATTCTGTGATGTTTGGATCACCAAATGGCTGTTGCAAAAACAAAAGATCACCAGTTCAAGAAAACCTATAAAGCACAATTTTCTTAAAGAAAGCTTAAGGAGGAAGTTAGGATTAGCATATTAATAACATGGACTATAACTGTAATCAGCATAGTTACACTACTTACAAAATTGCACGACTAGGGCAGCTAGCTTTTCATGGTAAAGTAAATTATTATAATACAATTAAAATGTTACACTTTTTCTTTGATACTTTTCATGCTTCTTAGTCACCTAATCTCTCACCTACATATAAAATTAGACCAAAGAACATCAAAAATAAAACCTGCAAAGTTGCATCTAGAATTCATCAGTTTCAATTAAATAAAAGAAAAACCATAGTGGGCCTGATGTTGACTACCTGCAACAAAGATTATTAGACAAAGCCCCAAAAACGTATATAGCTTTATCCTTTCAGACTGGTTTTAACTAAAGTCACATAGTTTTGCACTCAATTATAAATATCAAATACTAAACTACCATAACATGTGCACATCACTCATGTCAAGAGTCCAAGTTATAGAAAAAGGAAGAAAAGGTGTGATGCAAAATTCATTTTGTGTTAATTTAATTTTTAGATTATTTTATTAATTTGACATTTTTTTTAAACATAATAAATTACCACATGGTAACATTTATGAGTCTGTACACTCTGCCAAGATTGTCCAAAAAGAGGCAAAAAAAAATAATCAAAATGGAAGAAAAAATAAAAAAATGTGCTTGTCTGAAGATTCACCAAGAAAGGAAATCAGTTCCAATAAAAAAGCAAACAAGAAATAATGATATTACTCAAAGGAAGTCGGTTCCAGTCAAGAATCATGTACATAACGAATATTTTCTTCCAAATAAATCTGGAAGTAACATTCCTCATAGAAATAAAATGAGTGATTGATTGACCTTGTTTTAATAAATAGGATTTTCTTGAGTGTTCCATTTCCATTTTAACTTTTCTATTTTCTTCTTGTACTTAAGGGGTTTATTTAAGAATGATACAATTAAAGTTTATATTAATAAAAAGAGATTCTTCCTCCCATGGGGTAAGTTTGTTATCCACATGTGAGATGGGAGACATGGGTCTGTCATCTCTATAATTGATTACTAAAGCCAGAATGAATATGATATTAATCAATATTTTCTTCTTCCCACATTCTAGTCTTAGTTAAAATTCTACTTTTCCATGAAATTATATTTAATAAAGAGATTTTGCATCCTTGTTCTGGTTTCTTGACCCAACTAAATACTTAAATCTCCTTTGAAACTATGCAACAGTCTCCAACCAGAATGAAGGCCTCACACTTCACATCTCCTACTGCATGATAGATTCACAACATCATCAGCATAACTTTCTTTTATTAATTTTAGTTTCAACCATCATTCTCTTTATTGTTTGCAACTATAACCCCTTCAAACAAACTGCAAGGGAAAAACTTATTTTTTCTTAAACGGCATTACTTTCTATCTTGGGTAGATTTTCAATAAAGCATATATTCTATGTGTTCCTCTGTTTTGGTTTCACTTCCTTTTTCTTAGACAATTTTGGCATGTAGTGTACAGAGATATAAAATGTTTTCATTGAGGCAACTTATTACATTTTCAAAAAAACAAAACTAATAGATTACTACAAAGATTAAAATAAAACAAAGGAATGAAATTCATCAGCATAATTCAATGGTTTCAGCAATAAATTCTAACATATGACCAAGTTGCAATACAAAACATAGCATAGTGCAACATGGCCACCAGCATATTTGCAGACCAATTCCTCAATCTTAAAATTGATATTAAACTGTGCTCTACAGCAGATATCACAAGCAACAAAATCACAAGCAACAAAAAAATGTTTGTGCCTTAAAAATTGATATTAACATCTATTACAATAATTAGAAAACAGATGCAAAAGAAAAGAGTATGTGCTACCTGTTTCTGTACACACGAAATTTCTGGACCTCCTGACAATGTCCAAATTTAGCACCTTAAAGACAACTAAAAGGAATTATGACAGATTATTTAAAGGCAGATGTAAACAAAATGCACAGAACAGCCCTATACGTATGCTCATGTGAAAGAGGAACTGTTGCACTATACCAAGATATACTTTGATGGGATGTAGAAATGAAACGTTACGGGTGTGTCCAAACTGTTCATGCCTATGCCAGGAAGTGCAATGGAAATCTGATGCACAAAAATATGAAATAACTATATGATTAACTACAACCTCTAATATGAAACAGAGCAACAAAATAGAAGATCTGTCAATAAAATAAATTTACCCTTGTCACCACATCTTGTGTGAAAATCTTTCAAAAAGTCAGCAGCACGATCACAAACAAATAGACCAAAGAAATCCTCCACAAGGAGCTATATCCATAAACTTGGTAAGTCAATAAAAGAAATCCACTGAAGCATGAACAAACTAGGGTGTTGATGCAATTGATTCCTTCATTACCGGAAAATTGGACTCAGCAAGCATTACAAAATGTTCAGGCACTGCAGTGCAGAACAAGCAAAATTTAAAGGGTGAAAGCAAAGGAAGATGAATATGCAGAAGAAATATAACAGAATCATGCTTTCAGAAACTCAAAGCCACAGGACATTCATTCCTTCAAAAGGCAACTATTACGTGAAGTAAAACCTTAAGGTGTTAATATATAATGAATAAGTAACCTTTAGGAGCATCAATGTCCTCGATGGTCCATGTAAAAGGATTTTGAGATGATGGCTGGTTAGCATTTCCTTCATCCTTATTCTCCTGGACTTCTAAAAGCTTTATGGAGATATCGCTGTCAACTTTACCATTAGGCAAAGATTTAGATTCTTGAAGAACAATGGTATCCTTAGTTCTGGCAAAAAAAAAAAGTATTAAATAACTGTATGGAAGATACTAGACAAACTCAGTTAATATTCACAATCATTACCTGTTTAAAAATGATGAGTCATCTGCCGATGCTTTACATCCATTCAATTTCTCAAAGATAAAGGAATAGTTTTGACTGCTGGCCTCCAATCTTGAATCCTGAGTGGAACAGAAAATAATGCATAGTTGATTCACAAATTAAAGAATTTATTAATACATAAGATTTCTGTAATGACATTTATCTGTAGAAAAGCTTTCAAGGACTTATACAATAAAACTAAATAATCATGGTACAAAAAGAACTTGCAACTATAATTAGAGGAAATCAGTCATATATTTAATCTCGGGTTCTGCATTTAACCTAAGATGCAACTGTTTGAAAGTGATGAAAGTGAAATTAACTATGGTTGTAATTATTGTTTGACGCACCTGTAACAATACAAAACGGAGGGTAAGTACTACTCCGCCAGTTGACCGGCACACAAACCAACCTGTTTCAAGCAGTACACAATGGTTGGTGCAGGTAATGTATCAGCCAATATAGTCAAAACTCATGCTGTATTGACCGATACAGGTTGGTATCAGTCAGAATTTGACCGATACTGATCCAAATTGGGTCAAGTTTGACCCCAACAATCAAATTAACCGTTGGGCTCTTTTGGGGCTTTAAATCCTCCTCCCTCACTCATTCTCACTCACTTTCATTTGCTATTTCATTCTCACTCTTTATCGCACTATCAATTGTGATTGTTCATAATCAACAATAAACGATAATCAAGCTATTGAATTGGATAAAAAATAAATTCTTATCTATTTATGCCTCATATACACTCTATTCTTATTTAAAAACAAAAATTACCATTAAATTAGGATAAGAAAACCCTAAAAAAAGAGTTTTCTATGAATCTCTGACCATTTTGCAGTCTTCTTTCCAAAAATCGATATGTATTGGCATACAAGCATATGGTACACTAGTACCAACCAGTGCATACTAGTCTTGAACTGCTATGTCCTACCGGTACATACTGTTCTCGAACCAATGGTACCAACGCGTACCAAAGGTATGGAAGTTGTAATCTCAACTTCCATCAAATGGAAAAGTATGATTTTTTATAGTTATTACTTATTACAAAAATCCAAGAACTGGCATGATGTGAAAGTGTCTTGAACCACAACTCTTGTGATATGCAACACAATTATAGTTCCAGAATAATGTAAAAGATAAAATGGCAAGTGCCAGGCCTCTGATTTACACATGTCTTGAACCACAACTCTATTAGGAAAATCTTCATGCATTACGCCTAATTAAATTTGTTTCCATTGTCAACTCTTTCATGCTCCAAGTAAATTTAATTGGTACATTAGTTCTTTGCCCAAGTCATGCTTTCTTGATTTACACAAGAAATGAAGGGAAGCAACAGGATTCCAAGCACATAAATGCCTTCTCTGCTACAGATCAAGGAATTTTCACTATCATTGACATAATGTAAGCCAATCAAAACATAAAAGCTTCCTATCACCCAAGTGGTTTGCTCTCTCCACTCAAAATGTCAAAGAAAAAAGAAACAACACAAATTGATGAATGTTGCAATGCTAAAAGTGTGTCACAAAGTTTTTATTTTTAACATTTAAGTGATGACAGGGGAGAAAGTTAAGTGGCAACGTGCATACATAACTTTCATGACTCTCTTGTGGACTTCAAGTGTCAGCCAAGATCCACAACAAACTGGAATAGTACACATAGACAAAGCCTTGTGCCAATTGATAAGCTAATCCTGAATTTCACATCTAATGAGAAATTTTAGAAATTACACCTATATCTTTAGAACTTCCTTGATTTAACAATCAATGAACTTGTCAAGATTATCTATACATCAGAACTTCCTGATCAAGTTAAAACCTAAGAGCACATTCTAACAGTTCAAAGAGAACCAAGACTTGCATGGTACAATATCCTGCAAATCTCAGGTCTAAAATTTGAAGCAGTATATATCTCATATAAAGAAAAAGAATTGACTTGAGAGATATACAAAGTTTAAGTTTAAGATTGCAAAGTATTAAACTAAAATGCACCATACCCAGAAGATCAGATGCCAACGCAATCCATAAATACTGTACCAGAAGTGTAAATCATGCAGCACATGTATTAAACCAACATCAGAATCAAATGCATATTGCTTCATCCCAAACATAATGAACTGGCACAGGGGGCACGGACATAAACAAGGTATGGACGCATGCACCTATCTGCCTTATCATGCTTTCAGACATACCATACAATGTGTACTGGCAACTCAATCCATGTAAAATTCCTCAATAAAATTCCTCAAGGAAGCTGTGCCCACCCCCACAGAAAAATGGAAACTCAATTGGATATCTAAAATCAAACTTGGAGGGGACAAATCTGGCTGCAAATGACATCTATGCTAGTCTTCAAGTCAGGTCAAGAAAATAATAAAATCAATGCTTCCTATATATATATATATATGTATATATATGTATATATATATGTATA